GTATATCTTTGTTATTATTATTTAAGTATGTAACTATGTGATGTAAGGACAATAAACAGATTTTCTATCTATCTATCATGTTTGAAGCATTACCAAAAGTCTCATAGAGACAAAAGCTTTTAAATTTGATGTCTTCTTTGTATACTTTTGTTACTATTATTTTATTTATGTAATTATGTAAAGTAAGAAAAATAAACAGATTTTTTATCTATACATGCCTTATTAACAAAGTGGTAGGACTGGTGCAACTCAGGTGAAAGAGAAAAGCATGAATGGTATCACAACATAGTATCATATTCATAAGTCAACTTGACCGGTTTCAAACTAATTACCAAGCAAATCTTGCGCAAAAAGGTGCGTTGCATTTTGAGTATTATTATCTAATTATGTAAGGGTCATGGCTCATGTAAAGAGTCGTTCAAGAGGTTTCACATATTACAAGACTCTATCAAATGCGAGTGTGGAGACCTCAAAACCAAACGGCACATATTCACTGAATATTTTTATTACAACGATATAAAGCAAAAATTTGAATTAGTATCTTTAGCACTAAACTTCTGAATTCTGTTCAATAGGAGCTACAAGCAACTGTCAACCTTTGAAAGTTGAAACATGTATGTCTTTCAATTTTGTCACATTTCTGCTAAGTTTTCATTATGAGCACTTGCTAAAATTTGGAGTCATCAAGTGTTATATTCGTATATATAAAATTGATAAAGCGCGCTAATTTCAAAGTTTTATTGAGACAAATATTTTTGAGTTTGATGTTTTTTTGTATATTTTTGTTGTTATTATTTTATTTATGTAACTTTGTGATGTCACGACAATAAAAAAAATTTATATATATTTATATCATTATGAGGTTGTCAATACTAATGGTAGTGTTGCCAGGCTAAGGCTACTTTTTTAAAACCAGTGTTATCTGTTATTTAGACATTGTTTTTAATTATAACTACCTAGTTTTGTCATAGAACCGGAGATAGGTTTTATTATAAGTGAAATCATAGCACTTAACAACTGGCTTGGGTTGATAGATAAATAGAAAATTTGTTTATTGTACATTGCATAGTTACATGACTGAAATACGGCTCGGGTTAAACAGATAGTGATTTTGTGTACTGTTCTCACATTATACAGTAAGAGGAAAAAAAAGTTTGTTGTTCTTCACATTAAAGAGTAACATAAATATGATAATAACAACGATATACAAAAAATACATTGAATTAAGAGTTTCAAATACTTGAAATATTTAATAACCAACATTACATTCTCAATTCAGAATATATCTTCAAGCTTTATACTTCACTTATAATCTGAAATTTCATGCAATAAAAATGTATATTTTAATTCATTTTTTAATTCACTTGCTTTCTATTATCATTGGCTTTATTTTGCTTTTTTCTGGAACTCCTGGAAGCTCCATGAAATCAACAATGTATCTCACCCGTCTCGAGCTTTCGCCTACTATGGTCAGTGAAAGATTGGCTGGAGAACATTACAGGAACCCTGACGCAAACGTTTTTTGGATCTATCCTACTAGCTACTGTGCCCAAGTTTCCGCCAACTCCGATATAACTGAGTTTGATCTTGTATGCTCAAATCATAGTGCAACCTTCAAGTTCAACTTTTATAAAAAATTCCCAATTTCCAACGAAATTTGTACAGATAAAACGTTTTCCAAGATTAACCAAAAATCAACTAATTTTTCAAATCTTCTTTTGGCATTTCCCATTGTTACCTCAATCTGGTTTTTCTTAATGAATTTCATTACAGTTTCAAAGTGGTATTATACAGCAATTATAATGGGAGTTATTATAATTCCTCGGTTTATTTTAATCGTATTAATAGCCGTCTATTTTGTGATGCCGGCAAAAAAGCTGAATCAAATTTCAACGTTCTGTTATGATAGCCAACTAAATGCTTTTGACCCAACAACGCCTTATAAGGGCTTGATCTATCTTTTAAATTGCGATTATATCACTATAATTTTTCTTGTGTCTATTAAGAGTAATATTAAAAGTAGTATAGAAGACGAATGATTTATTTATCGATTTGTCTGTATTTTAAAAATGGATACATATTTTTCCTCGCTTGAAATTTTCAATTAGTCAATATATATATAAGTATAAGTAAATACCCTTTTTATTATTTTAATTTATTCTGTAACCAACTTTTGTTTTTTTTTTTTTTTTTTAGCTGAATTTGTTAACATTGATTCTTATTTGACTAGAAACAATTACCACTCAAAAATGAATCAAAAAAACACAAAAATTTATGAAGTATGCGTTAGCCCGGAGTCGAACCGGGGGCTCGACGATGGCAACGTCGAATTTTACCGCTAAACCACTAACGCCGGACATTTTCTTGAAATTGACAAGTATATTCAAACAAAATGAGTAGTAAAAAATCAAAGACCATGAAAAAAAAAGAAAACGCCCTGGGCGTTCTGGGACGACGTTAAAAACATTCAATTTTTCAAAAAAGCAGGATCATGCTTTGACAAATTTATTAAATGGTATTTAGGCTGTTAAGCCTCACTTGGTTTATTAAAAAAGTGTTTCTCCTTAATCAACCTAACTCTTTGGATGCAAAGATGAGGGCGGTTTCGCGATTGACCATGGTCTGAAAAAAAAAAAAAGGACAAAACCAACTGCACTGAGATTCTCAGTGCGACCCATGAAAATAAATCTAAAGCTACAATTTATTGTATGTTTCTAGGAACTAAGAGATTATAATTTCTTGGATAAACACCGCTGTTAATGATTTTTTTAAAGAATACTTACGAGAACTATTGTGGATTATCACTTTCCGACGTTCTTTACTCGAAAGAGTTGTTTTTATTAGGAGGTTTCTGGCTGATTAACAGTCAGATAGAAAATCTATTTGTTGCCCTTACATCATATAGTTACATAATTAAAATAATAATAACGAACTTATACAAAGATAACATGGATTTTAAAAAACATTTGTCTCTATGAGACTTTAAAATTAGCGTTCTCAGCGCGCTTTAGGTGTTTCAGGCATTTGATGGCGCCGAATTCTCCATGATGGTTAACAGTTAGAGACAAAATATTTTTGTAAATCTGGGCAATATTGAGGTGTATAAAAAATAATTTGAGCAAAAGCTTGTGAAAAAGCAAGTAATAGAACATGAGGCTTTATAGCAATCTGAAGATAATTGATTTATGATAAATTCAAGGCAGCCATTAAAGATGAAAATATATTACAATTGGCTACTCAAAGATAAATAATCTGTTCATTGTCTTTATATAACATAATTACATAAT